AATCACCAATTTTGTACCCCTAAATCAGTTGTACCCCCTTGTACCCCCGAATCATTGTACCCCCCGAATTTTACGACGAGCTACCCTATGAGGCTTTCATATTTCCTTTTTTTGGGAAACCTTTTTTTGACTCTTACAATTAGAATTATTGTTTAATTTCGAAATTCTTTCACTTTATGCAATTCTCCGAAATTTTAAAATGTTGAATTCGAAAATTCAAAAAACCAAAACTTCACTTTCAAGTTTCCAAGGGTTTTCGTAGTTTTGCGACCAGTCAAATTTTCGTGGTAATTAATCGAAAAAAAATTAATTTAATTTTTGCAATGTTTTATTGCCTGTTCGAACAATTTTCGAGAGAAAATAGCTCATTTTGGAATAGCTCATTTTGGGATTTTTGAGATTTTCGAATTTCGGTGGTAAATTGCTAATTTGTGATTGTTTCCTTCAATCAATGATCTAGAAAATTATGAAAAGAAATTAGAAAAATTTCATTTACCACGAAAATTGAGAAAAATTGGGGAAAAAAAACGGAAATTGGTGTTAAAACGAAGGAATATTGAGAAACAAAGAACCAATAACTAGAAAACCAACCGGAAAACCAAGCCCGCCGCCACCAACAAGACCACCAGTAACTGTACCGCCACGAACCACACGAGTCATCCGCGATGAATCAGTAGAGGAGGGACCACCATGAGGATAGCTGAGAGCCCAAGAATTTTTTTTGATCCATCATGAGTAAATAATTGAGCATTCCACTTTTTTCTAAAGCTTATCCGAAGCCTCTTTTTTGCTGGAGGTTTGATTATTTTGATGATGCTGACTGGAAAATCCATGTTTATAAAATGATGTTGTGGAAGTTGTAATTATCAGTTTATTCAAAAATAATTTTTTGACACTATGGATATCTGCATGCAACCTTCAGTATGGGACTGGTTGTACTTCCATCAATAATCGCGTTCCAGCTGCCTGTACCCTCATCGCAATAAAGAAATGTTGCAGAGCCATCCGAATTACCGTTCATATCTCCTGATCCACTATCTATTCTAGCAGCGGTTCCCGACGGACAATCCAATGATAACCTGTTGAATTAACAATTACCGTAAAACCTGTATTAGAAGGGCCGGCCCTCCCATTTTTCGGGAGGTCTCTAGAAGGGCACATTTATATGAATGATTCTTCAATTAGATGATGCACTTGTATTTTTCGTGGGATCTGTGAGCACTGCTGTTAAAGGGACATCGTTTTTTTTTGTTGGTTTTTTTTTACTTAACACCCATTAACAATTTTTATAGCGAAACAAAAACAATTATAACAGGGAGTTTGAAGTTTTCAGCCGGTTTTCAATAGGCTTGCAAAGAGCAGTTCAAATAGAGGGAGCACTTATTTTTTGTGAAGTCTCTAGGGGACACTTCAATTAGAAGGGCCTTCTAATACAGGTTTTACGGCAGTATGAGGCAATTAAAAACCAAAAATTCTTACATGCAAGCATCTGGAGAAAGACAAGGTGTTGAGCAAAAGCCGCGGGTGTAAGTTACCGGAACTTCATCATCCGTCAAGCAGTACATTGATGAACTGGGTAGGTTTTCTCCTTGACACGTCGCATCGTAGATTGGTGCGCATGCAGAACATGCTGTAAGTGTTACAAGATTTACATGCTTTAGGGATACACAAGATACGGTAAGGTGTCGTTGTGGTTGTGGTGACTGTTGTAGTAGTAGTAGTTAATTCAGTAGTTGTCGTTGTTGACTCTGTTGTTGTTGTTGTAGTGGCTACTGACGTAGCAAGGAACGCGGCTATAGCCGCTTGCTCTTGTGGTGTGAGCACAAGTGGGACACCAGCTTCTAGCAGACGGATTTGCTCTTGAATTGTGGTGGCTGAGGCTGAAATAAGGAATCGGACTGAACAGAACGGCAGTCACCAGCAAAGCAGTCAGACACAAGGGCCTGGGCCGTGGGTAGGTTGTCGTGGACCAAACCGGCCGTCCTTTCGAAAACAAGCTCAGCTACCCAGAAATTACTAGAGCCGCTATCTATATCAGAATTACTAGAATTACTAGAGCCGCTATCTATATTTTCTGTGAGAAGATCCCTATCTATATCAGAAGTCCAATCCTACTCAACCTATGAAGTGCCCCAACCAAAAACTGCGGCCACCAGACGATATTATAAATGATAAATGGCTTAAACATTTTGAACCCGAACACAACGATCAATAAATACAATTCCAATTCGAAGTCTGAAACTAATGTACTTACTATGAACCACGTTTTGCGTAGGAACACACGCATCCACATATCCTAAAATGATAAGAAGAACGTTAGCAGTGAGAAGAAACATTGAATGTTTTGTTAGACAGTAATCATCCGAGAACAATGGCTTATCAGAACATAAACTTCACACTTATTGATAACATCCTGTTTTTTTATTCCTTGGATTGTTGATCGCAATCGGATCGTTTTGCAACAAGTGTAATAAATATAGGAAAAAGAAAACTGTTTCTGTGAGAAGATCCATTTAACAAAATAAATTTTATTACAAAAATACATATGAGAAGTTTTGAAATTTTTTTTATTTTTAACAATCCGATTTTGTTGTCTCCATTTTAATAAACACTTCACTATTTGTCCACTCGGCTGGTTCATCAGTGAAAATGAAGTATGAAACGAAGTTGGTCTGAAAAAACTTTGAATTTTGTTAAAAGAGCGAATTTACAATAATCATAAGACCGCCGAGCACCAAATGCACCCAGAGCCATTGTAGACGATTCGATTCATCTGAGACAAAAATGGCGACTAGGGCTGGTGCAGAGAACAGAGCAAGACATTTCATCCATTGGATAGCGGCGATGACCACATGGGCGAATTGGCTGAAAACTTGGCCTAACTTTTGATAGAAGAATTTTTCAGGCCACCATAGCGGATCGGGTAGTCTAAATTTCACCATTTCTAGCCCATGCTAGATTCTGGTCTTAAAAACTCAAAAATTAGGCCACCGTGTTAAAATGAACTAGGACACACACCAGTTGAATTTCAGACTAATTACAGGTAATTTTTAGGTGGCCTAGAAATACCCAACTTGCGAAAAGTTAGGCCACCATGCCAAAAACACACTAGGTCAATATCCGGCGATTTCTGGGCCATTGAAAGTTACCTAGAAAACACAACTTAGGCCATGTTAGATTCAATCTTACCGAGCATGCAAAACTCCACATTTATAAAATCCTCCTGAATTGACACCAATACAGCACATGGTCAGAATAAAAAATGACAGCGAAATCATTTTGTGCTCAGCTGGGATGAAGCTGAAAATTTTCAGATTTATGAAAAATCTGAAAAATAATCCCAAAATACCCAATACAAGCGAAAAAGAATCCAGATCCACCAACGGCAAACGTGTTGAAAATCATGATTTTCAGCTTTTCAGAAATCATACTGTAACAAGAAAAATCTAGAAATTCGATTTTGAAAAAATTCTAGCTTACGTAAATTTATCGCTAAAAAGTGCAGCCACTAATCGAATTGGCATGTAGGAGAACAAGACAAGAGCAACGTAAAATCCGGTTTCAGTGATCCCGAATTTTAGAACTTCGTGGAAATAAATTGGCATAAAAGAGGAGAACATGATAACAGCGGACATTTCGAAAAACGCATTCACCCAGACACAAAGGATTACTGGACTGGTCAAGATTTTCTGAAATTAAATTTTGGAATTTTTTGGAACTTTTGTATTTTCTCCAACTTTCTAGAAATTTTTGTATCTTTGCATTTCTGAATTTTTTACTAAAATGTATCAAATTTTTCAAACTCTGTGGGGTTTTATGGTTATTTCTAATGTCTTCTTTTTAAACTTTCTGAATTTATGTATCTTCGAATTTCTGAATTTGTGGTATTCCGGAATTTCTGATTTCCTGAACTTCTTGATCATTGAACTTTCAAGTTCAGAATTTTTGAATATCCGTATTTTGGGTTTTACAAAGTTTAAGTATTTCGAAGCTTCTAAACTTTCAGAGTTCTCGAATGTTCTGAATTCGCAGGTTTCTGAAAAACTCACCCTATACGGAACACTGGTATTTCTATCCAAATGTGCGTCAGATTTATTTTTCTGAATATGTCCTAATTCTTTTTGAGAGACCCTTTTAGTGTCTTCGGGATGATCAATATAGACGATTGTCCATATAACAAAGAGTAGAATTCCAACAGCCGCATGAAGATAAAATGCATATTTCCAGCCAAGAGAGCTCTCACAAATTATGCCAGTGAAGGAATTTGTGACAACAGAAGAGATTCCAGTGAATGCGGTTAAAATTGCCACGAATGTAGCAGTTTCAGATAATGGAGCCCATCGAACAGTCATCAAACCGATGGCTGCAAAATCGGCGGAATAGGCGAGACCCTGAAATTTTTGTTTATACAGTTTTCATATGAATCAAAAAACTATTTATTTTCTAAAAATAACTCACTTGCAAAAATCTCAGAAGGATTAAAATAAAAAAATTGGCACGAGCAGCAAAAGGTACAAATGCAGTGGAAATGCAAGAAACAATACCAGCGACTAGAAATGGATATCTGAAACCAAAATTCTAAAAAATGACTGTAATTCAAAAAATAGTTTTTCAAATGGGAAAACCATGATTCCGCCGGGGCAGGGCCTGAATTTTTCAAATATGAAAAAAATCATCTTTTAACTTTTTCATGGGCGGTTAGTCAGCTTTGAAGTCCTGAGAAGATCTGTAAGTTTCAGATTATAAATTTCAAAAAAGTTTCCCATTACAAAAACAAAGTTTTTGTTTAGTGCACCCTGGAATTTTCAGACAAATTCAAAGATTCTGGAGGACTTCAAAGTTGACTATTTTCAAATGTCTCACCTTGCTCCGTATTTAACATACAACAAATTAATCGGAATCGTTCCGATAATTGTTCCAGCCGCCACCGCCCACATAATCCATTTTTTCTCTCCGCTGGTGTAGTCATAAACACTTCGAATTGTCTATAAATATCGAGATTTTTGATAGAGAAAAATCACGTAGGCAAGTTCTGATATGAAAAGGATTTCGTTCATCTCTGATTTAGTACTGTAATCATGTACTTTGGAAGTTCTAGAACTGAAAAGCTGCCAAAACGGTTGCAAATCTTTCTTACCTACGTTTAGAGGTTAAAATTTTCATTTTTTGTCCAATTCAATTTTTAAAAACCGTCCAATATCCTATATCTCAAAACCTACCCCATTTTTGTCCAGATAACTCTCGGTATAGTCATTTTTCATGCAGATGAAGGTGAAATTAATGACAATATAATTGGAACAGACAGATGCCAAGCATAAAAATCCAACAGCTATCACTAACAATCTGAAAGTTTTTTGATGCTATTTTTGCTTTACTGAAATTTCATTTTTTAAAAATAATTTTCGAAATTCCAAGTATTCGAGGATTTATTGAACTTTCAGGGAGTGTTGAAATCCGAGATTTTCCTAAACTCTTGGAAACTTAAGGCATTCATTTTATATTGAAAATTCTATTTGAAATTTTGGAATTCCCGGATTTTCAAAAATTTGAGAAATTTTCAAAATTCATAACTTCTATTTTTCTGAATGTTGGGAAATTCAGAAATTCCGTTTTATATCTTTATTATCTTCCGAAAATTGATAATTCTTGTATAATCAATGATTTGAAAAATCTAGAAGTTTCGAGAATTCAGAAATTCAAAAATCCAGAAAAACAGGAATTCTGAAATCCAGGAATTCAAAAAAGCGGATTTCCGAAATTTAAAAATTTAGAAATTTCAAGGATATCCAGTCGTGGTTTTCAAAATATTCAGTAAACGGAAAAAGTTTAAATTTCAGTTTTTTTTCAAAAATTGCTCTAAAGAATCGGAATTGAAACTTGTAATTTTGCTTTCATACGAAGTTTATAAATTGCCGAATTTTGTGTTCAGTATTTTCAAAAGCTATGTTGTTGTCGTGTGTGGTATTTTGCCAATTTTGATTCTGAAATATTTTCGGTCCCCCTTTTCCCTTTTTACCTGTAGTAATTTCCCCAAAGAGACATTGTTGATTCCGGTGTGTCTGAAGACGGTTTTTGGGTTCAACAAGGTTCATTAAAACAGGTTAAAACTAGATGAGAGAAATTTTTTGACCGATGAAAAAAGAAAAATTGATAAGACAATTGGATTATGAACGGAGTGATCCCTTGCTTCACATGTGATGCGCACGAAGAACATTACATTGTGACACGTTGGTATCAAGTGGGTGAATCGGATAGGGTAGAAAATTTGAAAAACAAAAAGATAAGGAGAAACATTTTGTAGTGGTTGATGATGTTGAAAATATGTTGTGTCTTTTGAAACAGAATTTTTAGAATTTCAGAATTTCATGGTATTTCTTTTGAATTTTGAGCTTCCTGTTTTTTTCTGTTATTGCTCATCTTTGCTTCAATATTTCAAAATTTCCGAATTTTCAAAATTTTAAGAATTTCAGAAATAATTTTAAAGCTTGATTGATTTGCATAACTATTTTCAGCATAGTAACAAAAGGCCGGCCGGGCGGGTACCTACCACAGTTGAAAAATTTCTAATAAAAAATTGGGTAAATTTTTTGAAATAAAAAACAAAAAAGGTTACATTATTTAACAAAATTAACAAAGTAGAAAGTTGTCAAAAATAGGTCGTTTTTGTTTAATATTTTGAAAAAAAACTTGAAAAAAGTTTTAAAAAAATCAGCGTCTGTACAAACCCCGGGCCGCCCCCCCCCCCCCAAATTTCAAAAAATGTGCGAAAATTGGAAACCTCCAATTTTTAGAGAATACGATAATCTGATATTTAAGAATATGAGAACTTCAGAATCTTGGATTAACAGTATATAATTCCAGATTGTATAGACTTCAAGGGTTCCAAGAAATTCAAGCCAACATACCCCTATGAAAATAGGAACCAAAAAAAGGAACCTCTTAAGAATGAAGGACACTGAAAATAAGAAAACTCTGAAAATGAGCATCTTAAAATAGTGTTTTTTTTTAAAATATGGGCCCTTAAATAAAGAAACGAGGATCCCAGAAAATAAAGACAATAGAAAATAGTGGAAACTTAACAAAAAAAGTACCATACAGAAAGGGGACCTAAAAAAAGAAACTCTCAAAAAATGGGAAACCCTAAAATTGACCAAAAATCTCAGAAATAATGAAACTTGATCATCCTAGATTATTGAAATTTGATCTAATAAGCGGGGGACCCCACGGGAATGAAAGGTCCAAATAAGAATAATGAGAAAAAAGAAATAGAAAATGAGATTGGGAAGGTTGAAGATTAGAAAAATGGAAAGCTACAAAAAAGCTTTAGAATTTTGAGAAGTTTATAAGCTTGGTACTACAGGAATTAAAAACTGGATCTCCATCCTGCACGTGGGTGTATGCAAATTAAAAATGAGCAATGACAGAAAAAAAACAGGAAACTCAAAATTCAAAAGAAATGTCATGTGAAAATAATTAGCCAAGATCTTCGGTCTGGAAAACTGCAAACTACAAAATAAAAGAAAATTAGAATTTCAGAAATCTATAGAAAGCTGGAATTAAAAATTTTGAAATCTTGGGATACTGAGGTCCTGAGATTCTGAGATTCTGAGATTCAGAGATTCTGGGATTTTGAGATTTTGAGATCCTGAGGTTCTAAGATTCTGGGATTCTGAGATTCTGAGATTCTGAAGTTTTGAGATTCAAAAATTCAAAAATTCTGAGATTCTGATATTTTGAGATTCAGAGATTCTGAGATTCTGAGATTCTAAGTATCTGAGATTCTGAGATTCTGAAAATATGAGATTCTGAGATTCTGAGATTCTAAAGTTCTGAAGTACTGAGATTCTGAGATTCAGAGATTCTGGGATTTTGAGATTCTGAGATCCTGAGGTTCTAAGATTCTGGGATTCTGAGATTCTGAGATTCTGAAGTTTTGAGATTCAAAAATTCAAAAATTCTGAGATTCTGATATTTTGAGATTCAGAGATTCTGAGATTCTGAGATTCTAAGTATCTGAGATTCTAAGATTCTGAAAATATGAGATTCTGAGATTCTGAGATTCTAAAGTTCTGAAGTTCTGAGATTCGGAGATTCCGAGATTCTGAAATTCTCCGATTCTTAGATTTTTAGATTATGAGATCCTGGAAATTATAAATAATAGATACTCTGGGATTTTGAGGCTCCGAGAAAACTGAGATTCCAATATTCTGAGATTTAAAAATTCAGAGGTTACAGTATTTTGAGATTTTAGGATTCTGAGAGTCCAAGACTTTGAGATTCTAAGACTTTAAAACCTGAAATTCTATAATTCTGAAGTATTATTAAATCTTCTAGTCAGTTTTGCCAAAAAAAAGCAACAGGAAAAAAAAATCAAAACCATTTTATATTCTTGTTTCAGCGGGAAGTGGAAAAATGTACACGTGAGAGGTGCGCAAAGGGCAAATGTATGTAAATCATATAATACAGGGAAAAGAAAAGCAACAGTGTGATATGTTCTCTAGATATTTACATAATTTTTGTGACTGATCAACTCGAACAGGTTGTAGTCTGGACAATGAAATTAAAGCATTTCAAATTTGTTTTTTAGGCTTTGGACACAGCCACTGGCTTCTCATCGCTGTTGGTCCACGAAGCTGGTTTGTCGGTGAAGATACAGTAGGAAAGGAGATTTGTAATTTGCATGAGTCCTCCGAAAACCAGATAGACACCGATCCATTGGGTGCGGACTGATTCGGTGGTGACGAAGAGGGCAACCATGGCTGGAGCCGAGAAAAGAGCCACGCATTTGGTCCATTGGATAGCAGCGATGACGACGTGGGCGTATTGACTGGAATAAGAGAAATAAAAAATGGCCTAAAGAAGTTTCGAAAAATCTCAGAAAGCGATCCCTGCTTAGATTCACAACCTAGATACTTACCGGGCATGAAGAACACCACACTTGTAGAAACCTCCAGAATTGACACCAACACAGCACATGGTCATAGTGAACGCAGCCACCGACCAGTACTTGTTCTCAGCTGGGATGAATCCAATAACAGCGAAAAATACTCCAGTACCTCCGACAGCTACAGTATTGAACATGAGCATTTTAGCTCGCTCTCCGACGCAAGTCATTTTGTCACTCATGACAGCAGATACCCATCGGACAGGAAGCCAGATGAAGAGAACCAAAGCAACCCAGAATCCGGTTTCAGTGACTCCAAATCCGAGAACTTCGTGGAAATAGATTGGCATGTAGGTAGAGCACACAATCACAGCTGACATTTCGAAGAAGGCGTTGAGCCAGACACACCAGATGACTGGGCTGGTTAGAAGTTTGCCATATGGAACATCGGTACTCTTATCAAGATGGGCTGCAGATTTGGACTTTTCGATTTTGCTCAATTCTTTGCAGGAGACTCGTTTGGTGTCCTGTGGATGATCGATATATACGATGTACCAAAGGCAGAAGAGGAACAATCCGACGGCGGCGTGAAGGTAATACGACCATTTCCATCCGAGTGAGCTTTCGCAGATGACACCTGTCACGGAGTTGGTAGCAGTTGACGAGATGCCTGTGAATGAGGTCATGACAGCGATGAAGGTGGCGGTTTCGGTGAGAGGTGCCCAGCGAACAGTGATGAGACCGATGGCGGCGAAGTCGGCGGAATAGGCGAGACCCTGGAAATTGTATATTTCAGCTTATGGAATTCGCTAGCTTTGATAGATGTTGTAATTAACCTAGCTTTGAACAGGATAAACGCAGTGCAGCGTATGCTTGTCTGCATCTCTCTGAAAACCTTGCGGGATCGTTTTTGAACTGAGCAAGTTCTCAAATAACAAAAAAGAACGCGAAAACGCGTGAAATTCTACAAGGTTTGCTAGCTTGAACGATCGCTGAGATGAAGCCAGCATTTTTCAGAAGAGACGCAGAGAAGCTAGAAAGTCTGCTTGTCTTCGTCTCTCAAGATGCATTTCTACACGTTTCAATTTTTAAAGAACGCATATCTCATAATCCACTAGAGCTACCAAAAAACCTGTCAACTGATAAAATGCCTTTCATATTATCACCTACATTTTTATAGTTTGCAGTTTTTGAATAACTATCACATTGAGATAATTGAGCCCGAAGTGCAAGTATGCATTTGGCTTTTCTAGGCCCAAAATCACAAACCTGAATGAATCTAAGCAAAATCAAGATCCAATAATTGAATCCGGCTGCCCATGGGATTAATGCTGTTGAGATGATCGAGGTGAGACCAGCGAGGAAAAATGGGAAACGAGCTCCAAATTTGACATAAAGAACGTTGATTGGAAGTGTTCCGATCATGGTTCCCAATGCCACCGCCCACAAAATCCACTTCTTTTCACCGCTGGAATAGTCGTAAATGCTTTTTAGCGTCTGAAAATTCGCAATTTTTCTCTTAAAATTACAGTAATATCATACTCCATTGCTATCTGGAATCGCGTTTGACATGTCGTTTTTCATGCAGATGAAGGTGAAATTTATGATGATGTAGTTGGAACAAATCGATGTGAGACACAGGAAGCCAACGAGCACAACGATGACTCTGAAATTTTATTTTGAGATTTAGAAAAAAAGTTTAAGAAAAACTTACCGATAATAATTTCCCCATGGCTTAGTGTCAGCGGACATCTTTCTTTTTTGGGAAACTTGGAGTTCTGAAATTTCTCAAAAAATTATCGGCTATTTGTACCAATGTCTATGATCTATGTGGTCGACTCCGCCCACTTCTCCAAGACGCGCGCTTTCTAATTTTTTGGGGGCGGAGCCTAAACGGTTTCTTGGGGAAAAGAAGCAAAGAATGAGTGGAACTCAACGACTAAATACGCCAACAAAATGGGTTGGGATGAAATGATCTATGGCGGAAATGTGGAAAAAATGTGATTCGAGAGAAAATTCGAAAGTTTTACATAATTTTTTTCATGTTTAGTTTGTGTTTCTAGTTTTTTTGTTTCATAGAGGAAGATCGAACATTTAGTGTCTAAGAGGATTGAACCAGAAAAATGAGAAGGTTTCTAATTTGCATTTTTGGGAACAGAAGAATTTTTTGGTGATCAAAAATCATAATCAGTTTTTTGAGGAGTCGTTTTTTTGTGAAGGGAAACTTTTTAAAACTAAAATAAAATTCTTAAGATTATTTAGTTTTTCAGAAACTCCGAATTTCCCAGAATCACTGATTCTAAGATTTTTTCTTGGAATCGCAGAATAGTAGATGTGAGGTCCGAAATTTCAGGTTTTTAAGTTTTTCGAAATTCAAACGTCAAAATTTCAGAATTCTAGAATCTCAGAATCTCAGGATCTCAGAATCTCAGAATCTCAGAATCTCAGAATCTCGGAATCTCAGAATCTCGGAATCTTTGATTTCTAGGAACTCAGAATCTCAGAATCTCAAAATCTCAGAATCTCAGAATCTCGGAATCTCAGAATCTCAAAATCTCAGAATCTTTGATTTCTAGGAACTCAGAATCTCAGAATCTCAAAATCTCAGAATCTCAGAATCTCGGAATCTCAGAATCTCTAAATCTCAGAATCTCAGAATTTCAAACAAAAAACAATAGAAATCTCTGATTTTCAGTTTTTTTTTCATCAAATGAACACCAACTTTTCAATCTCCCATCCTTCAATCATAAGTGGATTTTTTGAGGTCATCGACTAGCCAAAACAACCAAAAAAGCCTATAAATTTTTGATTCGATTATACGGAAATTCCGAAATCGAGAATCAATTTTTTCGTTTTTTTTGCCATCGAATTAGTTGAAAATTGTTCATCTTGTGAAAACATTACAAAGATCAGGGACTAAAATTTTGTTTTAATTTGACCTATTTCAAAAAAAAAGATTTTCTATTCGAAACTTTTGTGATTTTCCAAGTCTGGTGGTCCACGTCACATCCAAAAATTCCAATACTTTCGAGATATCCCAAAAGCTCCTCCAAACTACAAATTTCACCGTATTCCTTAATTACTTGCAATTTGAAAATCGACGATTCTCGGATAAGGATCACACTATGGAAACTGAAAAAATGTCGTCGTGAGTTTTTTTTTGTTTCCCAATGAAGCGCACTTTTAAATTACGCTTTTAAAAATTTCATTGTTTTCAATAGAGCACACTTTTTTCTTGGAAATTTTTTTCCGAAAATTTTCAGCGGATCCAGAAAAAAGAAGACTGGAGCAAAGCCTTCGGAATCCGGGAGCAAAGTCAAACAGCAGAAAAATGCTCAACTTCAACAGAAAAAGAAGGAGGCCGTGACAAATACAAAGGTATAATAGGAACAAAAATTGAATGAAAAAAAAAATTTTTTTTTGAACAATTGAAAATAAATCATAGGCCAGAAACTGAAACCCAAAAAAATAGGTTGAAAACTGAAAATCAAAGTTTTAACTGAAAATTTTAGGGCTGCATTCTGAGATTCTCAGTTTCTCAGATTCTCAGATTCTCAGATTCTCAGATTCTCAGATTCTCAGATTCTCAGATTCTCAGATTCTCATATTCTCAGGTTCTCAGATTCTGAAATTCAAATATTACGAAAGTCAACGAAGATTCTGAAGTTTGAAAAATCTCATTTTGAGATTCTAGGTCCTTTTATATAATTTTTTCCAAAGCACAACATTTCCAGCAACTTTGCAATTTCCACGTTTTCTCTACTTCTCTTCTCTTCCCACCCTAATTATTGACCCAATTAGTACTGGGACTCGTGCTCTCCTCACATTGCTCTACTTGTAAAAATACGTGAATTCTGGAAAAAGCCATCTAAAAATGGGGAAAAAATAGTGAGATTTCCAGGAATCCTTCCTTGGAAAAAGTTTTCTGTAATTAGTTGGTTATGATTTACAGGAAATTGAGCTAGATGAAAAATCATGAGGTTCCCCCCGAAGAATGAGCAATCTTGAGTATTTCAAAAATTTGAGAATGTGAGAATCTGCGATTTTCAGGATATTAGAATATGATATTTTATAAAATCTCAGAATTTCCGAATTTCAGAATTTTAGCTACTTCGAAATTCTGGATCTCAGAATCGCAAAATCTGAAAATCTGAAAATCTCAGAATCCAGAATCTTTGAACCTCAGTACCTCTGATTTTCTGAATCTCAGAAAACTTCAGAATTTCAGAATCTTAAAGTTTCGAAGTCTGAAAATCTGAACATCTTAGAATCTCAAAAACTGGAACTTCTGAATTGATTTTTTTCTGAAAATTTAGAATTTTCTGAAAAAGGTTGTTTTGAATTTCACAAATTTGTTTATCCTATACCAACGCTAGAAAATGGGATTTTGAAAAAAAAACAACTTTCAGATAAAAAAATGCTTTAGTTCCATAAAGTTTCAGCAAAATCCATATTTCAGGTGATCCGGCTCCTCGGCAACCGAAGTGTCTATCATGTGCCAGTTGAGGATTTTGTTCGTGTTTCTCAACTTGTCAAACAACAACAAACGTCTGGAAAATTGATGGCCACTGTCGATTTGCACCGTTTCTCCGATCAATCGATAATCGCTTTTGTGAATTTCGTCCAAAATCGAGAGATCAAATCTGCGTTGACCTACTATGCAATCACTGAGCTCGTCACATTGGCTCATACGTTTCAGATGAAGGAGTTGAAATTGTGTTTGGAGGATGTTAGTGAGATTTCCTGAGATTGTTTTCTTTTGGAATCTAATTTTCAGTGTATGATAGAAGCGTCCAAGTCATCTGAAGCGGATCTCCTTCAAACTATGATCATCTGTGACGTGGCACATGTCAATCCAGACACTGAACGTTTGCTCCAAAACCTGGCCATCGAGACGATTGAGAAGCTTGTGACACTTCCGGATTTTTACAAAATGCCATTTCATCAATTGTTCCAAGTTTTATCCAGTTGCGATTTGACAATCACCCATGAGATGTTTGTGGCTGATGTTGTCCTATTGTGGTTGAGTGGACAGAATCATGTCAACGCGTTTGCTCCTTCTCTGCTTTCTTGTGTGAGTTTTTGAATATTTAGGTTTCGGGATTTTTTTAAATTATTGAATTTACGCTTTTTTATGAAATTTTTTGGTAATTTCATAAATTTCGGAAATTCCATTTTTCGACTTTTTCCAAGACAGAAGGGGGGCCCATGGGTAAAAATTATGTCTAATTTAAGATTTTTCGATTTTTTCAAGTTTTGCCACTGTTTTTATGAAAATTTCGTACTTTGCGCTTGTTTCCATAAAAATGCATAACTTCAAAAAAACGTTCATTTTAGGTCGTTTTTTCTATGAACAACGCTGTTTTTGCTGTCGTAACTGTGTAATTTCATTTTATTAAGCTACTATTTGATTAATTTAGGCTTAGGAACAAAATAATTATTAAAAAAATGTATAAAAAATGACATTAACTGAAAATTTCAAAAAATGATGAAAAATGTTCAAAGCAGAAAATTTTAGTGGAAACAACCACAAAAAAAAATCTGAAAATCTTAACTTGGGTATAATTTTTTTTATTTTTGGCCCCCCTTTTAACTTGGCCTCCCCCATTTTCTCATAATAATGTTTCCAAACTTCCAGAGGCTTCTGGATTCCCAAAAACTTTGAATAGTTTTTGAATTTCTAAAATTCAGAAGTTGTACAACTTACAACTCTTGAACTTCTATTATATGATTTCCAAATCTTAAAGTATTACTGTAGTTCTTTAGTAGAACTTGAACCCAAAAATCTTAATATCAAAACCAAGATCAAATTATTTGAACCCAGTAGTAGCTGTGTGTAGTCGTACCCGAGAAAAATATTCTTCTTCTTTTGATTTGATCAAAAAGTTCAAGTGATGATCGAAGAAGAAAAAATGTGATCCGTTTCTTGGGGTTTTGCAAAAACACAACAAAATTGATACGTTCTCTGAACAACCGAGAAACTTCGCCCAGATTCTGAGAGATAGATTCAGAAACCACGTGTTTTCAATGAGTGATGAGTGGAAATTGTTAAGTGATAAGATAAGATAACAAAAAAAGGGAGGATTGGGGTGTTCTTCGGAAAAAAAAATTGGCAAGAAAATGGTTTTTTTTTGGTTATAAGGTGTTCTGTTGAAATAGCGTAAGCCAAAAACCCACCTAACTTTAACCAATTTTATCTCGGCTCCGGTGAAAGATATGAAAAATTACTAAATAGATAAAGTCATTTTATGATGATTATTTTATCAGTGGACAACTTTCTGATATCTCTGCCAGAAATTGAGATAAATTGTGTTAAAGTTGGTACCACGAAAGAGCAAAAAAATTATGTGAGTTGAGAAAAGTCTCTGGGATTTGGGGTTATTTTTAAATGGACTTTTGAAAATGGCACCAAAAACCCAGAAAACGCCAAGAAAAGTTCCTCCCAACTACCATAGGTCTCAAAATATAGTAATCTAGGATTTTTGAAAATTTTGGAAATTTCAGATCCGTACGAAATTCCTGAGTCCAGTGGACCGTACCATCATCATTGAGCGTCTAAACCAACTCAACATGCTAATAAGTTGGTCCGTTTGGCAACAAAAATGCTCGACTCACCGAACAGCCAACGTGTCTGTTTGGATCCGAATCATATTAAGAAGAACTTGCCTAGGTTCGAAGTTTTCGAATTTTTAGAAATCTAGTCTTGAGATTTTTTTTTTGCATTTCCGAAACAACAAAAACCACTTAAATATTTCAGATGCGGTGCAAATGTGAATCCGGCTCCATTCAATGCTCACTCATCTCTTCCACTGAGCCGCCCGACTTTCAATATGAAAATGAAAAAATCAAAGGAGCCAAAAGCGAAACCAACGTTCGATGTGAGTATTTCGCGATTTCTGAATTTCTTAATAACTCAATTTCATATTAGCTGAATTCCTTACTAACTCAACTTCTTAATAGCTCAATTTCCTAATAGGTCACTTTCTCGATAGATCAATTTCTTAATATCTCAAATTCTTACTAGCTCAACTTCTTGATAGCTCAACTTTTTAATAGTTCAGCTTTTTAATATCTAAATTTGCTAATATCTCAATTTCTCAACAACTCAATTTCTATCACCCAATTTTCAGCCATCCACCGCTCCACGTGTCATTGACCTAATAAATTCGGATCCCAAAGTAGTGAAAATCGAGCAGTCTGTTGAGAAAAAAGAGATGAAAAAGAAGCAGAAAGAAGCGAACAAAGCCAAAAAATCAGAAAGTAAAAGGACAAGAAAGAGCAGATGTGCTTGTATTGATTACGTGAAGAGTAAAATGAGCAAGAAGAAATACAAAAAAGGACCAGGAGGTCTCAAAGATCCGAACGCTGTGAAAGTCAAGCCACCCGGGAATAGTATTAGTAGCAAGTTGGTTAAGTTTTTGAAAGCGTTTTTTGAAGAGCAGATTTTGAAGTTTTGTCAAATTTTTAACTCGATTTCTTTTTTATTCGAATTTTTCAGAAAATCCGACGTCAGCTCGAAAACCTCGATGACCTCAAAAATGTCGTCATCCACAAAAACGAATCCAAATGCGAGTGGCCTCGAGAAGAGTCTGGAAAAGCGTCGAGCTCATAAACGTGGCAAAATTCAAGAAGCCATCAAAACATCGAAATCGAATACAAGTGTGGCAAACTCGTCGAAGAGCAAGAGTTCGACAGGCAATAAAAGTTTGGCATCGTCGAATAAGAGCACCAGAAAGATCATCACTTTTTGAGAACTTTTTTTGGAATTTTCTCGGAATGGATTTGAAAAATGTCAATAAATCAGAATATGTGGTTTTTAAAATTTATCGTGTTATATAATTTTTCGAAGATTGAATTCGTTTGTGTATGATCTTTTTTTGTATTGGAATTCCTTCTATTGGAATTAAAAATTTTTTTGGAGATCGTGGGTAAAAATAAGTAAAAATCGTTCTTTTTTTTTGGAAAATGGAGAGAACAAGCTTACAAATTCAAAAAACCGAAGAAAATAAAAATTAGAAATGATGAGAATTGTAGAATGTTCGAAGATTTTGTTGAAGTTTCAATTGCTTCTGAAAAATCAGGTTTTGAGATTTTGAGATCCTGAAATTCATAGATTCATAGATTCTGAAATTTTGAGATGATGAGGTTCTGAGATTCTAAGATTCTAAGATTGTGAAAACTCGGGATTCTGAGATTCTAATATTCTGAGATTATGATATTTTCAGATTCTTAAATTCTAAGATTATGAGACTCTGAAATTGTAAGATTCTGCAGATCCTTCGTCCTCAGGTTCTAAGATCTTGAGATTCTAAAATTCAAAAGTTTTGAAATCCCTAATTTCTGATATTTACAAACTTTCAGATTCTTAAATTTCTTAAATACGACCTACCCCTCATGTAATACTGCACAAAAAAATCTCCATCTGTCCCATTTTCTGAATTTATAGAAATCTGATTTCCAATAACATTCGTCGTCCAATCTTGAATTTCATCAGTCGGGACCATAGGATTTTTAATTTCCAAATTCGCACTTCGTACCCCAAAAGTGACTTTTCCGGTTTTTGGAAAAGTTCCAACAGTCTAAAATTTTCTTAGTATTGGAGAAAAAAAATTGGATAAAAATTTACATTAGATCCAGTAACTCCAGCAACGTCTTTGGAGTTTTGAGCTATCTGTATAGTCACATTTCGGTCTTTTTGATTTTTTGGCTTCATATAAAATCCAGTTGTAGTTGTGGAGTTTGTAGAAGTTCCATTGACATCATCTGAAGGAGATTTTGCAAGATTTTCAAAAAAAAAACATTTCACTTACAGTACTCTGGAGCAATATTAAAACTTAGACCTCCATAATACTTGATATAAAATGCGCCGAGGCCCAACGAAAATTTTTGTACATTTGAGAAAAACTCAATGGTATGATCGGTTGCCCTGGTGGGGCTCACTGGATTTGAAAAAATGAAAGTGCGATCTTTTTCGGGTAAATCGGTTGGAATTCCTTTGTAAAAATATATCGAAGAATTTGAAGACTGATTCCAAGAGCTGATTGTTGAGTATTGGACTGGTGTACTTTCCATATTGGAATTCAAAAATAAAACGGTTTGATTTTCGTTGGGGAGGTATAAAGTTTGCGGTTTGTCGACATCGATAACATGGAAATTGTTGACTGAAAATATTGATTTTCAGATTATCATAAATATAAGTTTCAAGTAATGACCTGTGAAATTTGACTTTTCGCAGTTTTTCGAATTTCAAAAAAATGCTATATAAAATTTTAAAACAATAACTTTCCGTAATTCAAAAATTCGAATGTTTAGAATATCGGAAATTTAGAATTTCAAAATTTCAAAATCGAAAAGTTGAAGAAATTCAGAATTCCGGAATCTGAAAGCCTGAGATCTTGAGAATATGAAACATGAAAACGTAAGATTTTTTCTGAAGCTCAGGGTTCCAAAATTTCAGAATCTTCGATGCTCCGATTCTCAGAATATCTGGTTTAGGATCATAGAAAAAGAAAATCTCAAAACCTCAGAATCCTTATAATCTGAAAATCTGAAAACTGAAATACAGTGGTTTGAAGGAGTTATAGGGATTTTAGGCCTTTAAAAATATAGGAATCCAGGAATTTCAGAAAATCGAAGATTTTGTAAAAGACAAACAAATTTTGCTAAATTCTTTAAGATTTATTTTATTCTCTATTTTGTTTGACAAATCTGAATTGCATATTGTTATCCGGAAAATTTAAAAAAATGTCCTAAAACACAGTGGAAGAGAAAATACTGTCTTTTTTCAGTCCGCCAACTTTGACCTCATTTATCTTGATTCCCATGAGAGATATAAAAAAATTTAACTGATAAAATGTTTATAATAACATCACCAGCATTTTACCAGTTGACATATTTTTAGTATCGTTCAAAGTAACCAGAATAATTGAGCTTAAAATGTCATTTCAATTTTAAATTTCCAAAAACTTACTCTGGTGCTGATTAGTGGTGCATATGAATATCATCCCAGTCAAATTTTCAACTTGTTGATCTGTTAAATTCGTGGTTACATAGGCGGAAGTTTGTACAGGAAACGGTTGGATTTGACTGGTGGTGAGAAAGGGTTTTCGGTTTTTCAGTTGTAGAAATCTGAAAATTTTGGATTAAATTGATATTCCCAATAAAAAATTGCCAATTAAAGCATTTTGAAATTGGTTCTGAAATTGCTCACAACCTCCAAATTAACTGAAACGAAAAATTGAAACAACATTGGTATTCACAGGTAAAATGCGAATCCGTTACGGACGCTCAGCGTTCGCGCGCGGTTGAAATAGGAACCGCTCAGGGAATTTTTCGGCGAGTTGCTAACCCGAAAATTTTGCTTGCCGCTGACAAACGGCAAGCCGTTTTTTCGGGTCAGCAACTAGCTATTTTATAGAGCAAGTTGCCATCTGAACGCAGCAAGAGAACGGCAACTTGCTTTTTTCACGGCAAGCAACGGCAAGCAAGTTTCATGCATGCGGCAACTTGCTGATTCTGCTCAGCAACTTGCTAAATGGCTCGCAACTTGCCGTTTGCTTGCCCAAAATTCCCTGAGCGCATACGGACCGCACGCGACCCGTTTTCAGAAAACCACAGCATATTATTCCGTATTTCTCCGTATTCTGTCCGTTCGCGAACTCCGTATCCGATCCGCTTGCGAATGATGGACAAACGGATCCGTTCGCGAATCAGACAAAAATTTAAGTTCGCGAACGGATCCGTTTGTTTATCATTCGCAATCGAATCGGATGGGGGTTTTCTGAAAACGGGTCCGTATACGGTTCCTATTTTTGCGCGCTGAGCTTCCGTAACGGATTGTTCGCGAATCACCTGTGTTTTCCATTTGAAAAATACCAAATTTTGAGTCAATTAAAGTTAAATGACTTTCAAAATGTGCTTGTTTAGAGTCTCATAATTTTCCAGATTTTCCTCAAACTTCAAAAAATTTAGAACCTCAGAGATTTCACTTACGTCTGATTCTGCTTATCCTGTGTTATCAAATGAATTTGAGACAGAATTTCTGCATCATCACTTGTAGCGGACACAAATACGTCGTACGGAGCATGGGCATTTATAAAATTTTTGAAATTTTCTCCTCGAAAAGTTTTCAGATCAATTAGTTGTTGAGCAGAAACTAAGCAGATGGAGAAAGCTAGGAAAATGAGGAACTTCATTTTTTTTGTTTGGCTGAAAAATTTTTTGACTGGAAAATTTTTTTAATAGTGGCGAGCAAAATGTTATCAATATAAAAATTGGGTGTGGCGGAAGGAAGGAATTTTAAAATGTTCTCTAGTTTTGAAAAAAATCAGGTGCACAATTTCTGAACGATTAGTCATTCTGAAATGTCGTTATAATCTGTATTTTGAAGAACCGATTTTTTCAAGAAAATTGAAAGTTTAGAGGATTTTTTATATGAAATTTTTGCGATATTATTTCATTTACTTTTCAAAATTTCCCCTTTTCAGGTACCCAATTTCATTTTTTCTGTTATCTACACTAAAAAAACCACAAAATGCTCTCGAGGAAATGACTTTTTTGTCAGCGATAATCTGTCTACTTTGAAACTGAAAACGCCTTTTCCTGATTCAGAAAAATGATGATGACGAGAAACAAAATTTTGACTCATTTTTTATGAAAAACAATTATTCACATCGAGTTAAGCCAATTAAAAAAAAAGGAATACATATAAGAGGGTTCAAATTTCAAATTTTTCACGTTTAGAGTTTCAAAACGAATTTTTTGAAAAATACTGTGCTCACGCAGAAAAAATTGAAATTCTTTTTTTCTATTCAAAGCTGTGTTCTTCACAGAGAGATGTAACTTTCGCGTCATATTTTTCTCTCACAGATGTGTTCTGCAGAACGATTCTGTGTTTTTGTTCTTTAATTTTGATAAAAACGTTAAAAAATTAATCAAAAAATTGTGGATTTTTCATGAAAACCCAGATTTAATGAAAATAAATGTTCACGCTACATTTTCAGGGGAAAATAATAAAATTCCCATTTAAAAATAACTTTTTTTGTAATCGTTGTTTTTATGTGTGAATTTTCATAATATTTCTCTTTTTCGGTTATTTTTTCTCAAACGTGAAAATTTTTAAATTTGATCTCTCTTATATGCCAAATAAATGAATACTGTAAGACTGTATTAAAAGATCCCCTGTTATAGACGGGCCCTGTAATAAAAGGTAAAACCTTGGAACATTAAAAGAGTCGGACTTTTTAATACAGGTTTTACTGTATGTCAATTTATAAATGGCTATGGTTTTATGGTTATGCTTTTATTAGGTTATTCAATAAATAGTGGTCACTTTCACTTCGCTCTACCGTTGCTTATCCAACTTTGGGTTTTTTTCAATCCTGTTTTTATATATAGACGTCACACATTGCATGTTTAATAGACATTTAAAAATTCCGAATGGACTGTCTAACGGCCGAGAATTTTCTCGATAACGGACACATACTCAAAAGTGTTTCTTTGATCATATGTTTCCAAGGTCTCTCGAACAACGACCATTAGCGAGCAGAGTGCAAAATGTTAGACGTAGACCTCATCTCTCGAACCACGATTGAAATTTGGTTCAAAAGATTCGAATAAGAAAATTATGATCTGGATCATAAACCAATACCCAAAAGGCCTAGCCTTAATAAAAATGAAAATATTTTAATGATACTGGAGGAAAAGCTCTGTGCTACTTTGCGTGCATTATCTTTGACAGCCCACCATCCTAATAGCACCGTAACAGATCATGCTCCTAAAACGGGAAGAGCTCGGAGAGTCGATCAAATCGTTCCCCACATTTTGACCAATTTTTAGAAAAAGGTCCGATGAGACCTGTCCGTTTCTCTCCTCTCCAGGAAACCGACGATGGACTGGGTCAACAAAACAATCATTGGAGATGATGAACGGGTACTGTATATTAACAATGCCAGTAAGCACCTATGGCTCTCTGCAAAGGAAACGGTGGAATCGGTCTCAAAATGCAACCTTCAAGAAAAAATCAGATTTTTCCGATTCGGTTAGACAGTGCTGAAGTAAAATACCGCAAGCTGCTTCCGGATTCCTATGTCATCAACTTTGGCTCTACTGCTTTCAAATAGAAAGTGGTATTTATGCACATCGCTCTCACCTCTAGAGAGGCTCAGTGTTGAAATTTTGCATGACAACGAAAAACCACACAAATATTCGAAGAGCCGTTACAAACTCCATCTTCTAGGAATCGAAGTTTTGCATTGCCCATCGTACACCGCCAACCTGGCACTAGCTAATTATTACCATATCCGATTTCTCCAGAATCGTCTTGCTGGTGAGAAAGTCCATGATCGGAAGGATGTCATGAAATTTTTGGAACACTGTTTTGCCTCTAAGTCGCCAGAGTTCTACGCGAACGGAAATGCCCAATTTCCGTTGCGCTGGCAAGAAGTTATGAACTCCAATGGCGAAATAATTTCTCAATGATTCTTGTTTTCCTTGAAGAAAAAACTACTTGAAGAAAAGTGACCACTATTTATTGAACAACCTAATATAAGATGACATATTTTAACATTTTCCACGGGGACTGAGATAATTAAAGTACATACATATTCAAGAGGTGATTAACTAATTGACACCCTCACGTTGTCATTTTAACCCCCATGATAGTGTGATTCAGAGGTTTGAAATTCGAAATTCGAAATTCTAAGACCGTGAGAACCTTTGAATATCAGGGATTCTGAGAATCTGTGGTTCCAATATAACGATATTCCGAAATTCCAAAATTCTGAGATTCTGAGATTCTGAGATTCTGGGATCTTGAGATTCAAAGATTCAGGAATTCCGAAATTCTGAAATTTTGAGATTCGAAATACCTAGTACTCTATGTAGTAGATTTTGAGATTCCGCAAATTTGCGATTCCTAGATAATGAAACTCCAAGATTCTGAGATTCTGGAATTTTGAGATTCCGAAATTCTGCGAGTCTGAAATTATTTTGAGACTCCGCAATTATTACAAAAACTCTGAGATTTCGAGAATTCGAGACTTTGAGATTATGAGTAATGTTAATATTTTATTAAAGAAAATGCAGGTTTGAAAAAACTACACAAAACTTCCAAGCACCAAAGTTAAAATCGAAACCACCAAGTTCAAAATTCCCGCTCCTTTAGTAGTCGTCTCCACCGACGGACTAGTCGCATTCGTTGGAGCAAACGTAGACGAAATCTGGTCTCCTTGAATGATATAATACTGTACAAAGAACTCGCCATTCGTTGAGCTCTCCGACGAAACTGTCAAGTTTTGTCCGATTTTGTAAGTTAACCATCCGAAAATCTGATTAGCAGGTGCTACATTAATCTCTGTGGACTGCAAACCATCATTCTCTCGAACTGTTACTTTTCCATCGCGCGTTGGCATTGACCCGATTATATTTACGCCCATGGTCCCGTTGTATCGAGTGTCTCTTAAACAGTCGATTGTAACTTTTTTAGGTGTCTGAGAGACTGATTTCGTGATCAATCCAGTTGTGGTATAGGCGGTTGTGCTAGAGAGATCTGGGTTCAAATAAAAGGGACTGATAGCGAAGTAAAAATCACTGGTTGTTTTGAAATAGAAGGCACCCAGACTGACAGAAAATTTCTCGACGTTTTGGATGAATCTGGAATAAACTTTTGAAATTGAAAAGTTGAAATATGACATACCGTAAACAATCTAATAAAAGGTCCTTCTTACTTTGACCTAATTTATCTTGGTTCCTGCGAAAGATATCAAAAAGTAGTCAACTGACGAAATGTTCGTCATAGTATCACCAACATTTTATCATTTGATTAATATTTGATATCTCTAATAGGAATAGATATAAATTGGCTCAAAGTAAAAGGGTTTACGGTATTTTTGTCAGGTACTCTATGAGGGACCAGTTCTACGCCATTAAGAAAATAATTTGAAACTCACCTCGGTGGATCGGTAATCGTCTGAATCGGATTTGCAAAAATTTGTGAACTATTAACCTCCTCCTCATCTGTTGGATATCCTTTGTACATTTTCACAGTAGAATCTGCACTTTGTCTCCAAGTGGTTATTGTGGAGCTTTGGACGGGTACCATGTTTTCATTAGTGTTCAGAAAAACCATTGTACATGGATCACAGATAAGCAGGCTAGGTCGTACAATTTGAACTAGATCGATATCGTAGACTTTGAAGTTGAAGTCTAGAAAACTAAATTGTGTAGTGGTTCTTCGATGTCAAGGGCCGGACAACGAAACATACCATTTGATTGTTTTGCAGTTGTTATATACAAAAATCCTCTCAAAGCCGACATTTGATCATCGTTTAAATCTGACGAGATATAAGCGGTTGATTGGACTTTGAACGGGGTCAGAAGGCCAGAGGCTACGGTATCTTTTGCAGTTTTCAAGTCGTACAAACTGGAAATAGGGAAATTGCTGATATTATCTCGGTTTCTTACAAACTCTGAAATTCGCTGAAGTTTTTGAACTTCTTCTCATTTTTTTAGTTTTTGGACTTTAAACAACTTTTTGGAAAATAACCTCTTAATCTGATTATTATCAGTTTTCACATAAATCCGACTTAATGTATCATTTGAATCCATGTGAGCAGAAACATATAAAGAAAATGGTGACGGTACCAAAATTTGATTATTCACATTTCCACCTTTGAAATTGTTTAACGGAGTAATTTGTTGGAAGTTTGCAGTTTGGAAAAATAGCGAAAAAATAACAAATATTAGAAGGCGAAACATTATTTTTTGTGGAAAAGAAGTCTAGAAGAAATGGCAAACGTTTGCTGTTTTTTGATTGATAAGAAAATTTTATATGTATTTTCTGAGTCAGCTTGTCTAGTTTTGGGTCTCGTCTGAAAATGAACACGTCACTTTTTTAGGTTTCGAAATCAGAATTTTTAACACATGATATTGATTTTTTGGGGATACTTGGATGACAAATTATTGAAGTTTAGGAAGCTCTTGCCACTCCGAAAACTACAAGGACCGTGAGAAAAACATTTGAAAAGTTGATCATGCATTTTTTTTTATTTTGACACTTTTTAGTTTGATCTTGAATCAAAATTAATCTCCGGAAATTTAGAAATTCAGGAATTCCAAAATTCAGTTACTTAGAAAGTAAGAAATTTTGAAAATTCGAAAATTCAAAGTGCCAGAAAATTCGAAAATTCAAAGTGCCAGAAAATTCAAAAATTTAAAAATTCAGAAATGCAGAAGTTCAGAAATTTGGAAACTCAGAAAATCTGGAATGTAGGAATTTCAAAAATTAAAAAAGCTCTGAAGTCTTCAAAACTTGAAAAAGTCTAGGAATTACCTGGACATTTCAAGTTGTTCTCTTGAAATTTCAGGCTTGCCAAATATCTCAGATTATCAAAAAATTGCATTTTTTGCGTTACAGTTTATGAAATCCCCAAATTTATTAAAATGTTCAACACAAAGGCCAGTTACACTTTTTATTCCAAAAAGTAGTTTTCAAAAATTGTCCTCGAATTGATCATTCCATCTGTACTCGTGACGGCGTCTGTCTTGAGTTTGTTGTCTTTGCAGCAGGCGTTTTATTGACAGGAATACGAAATTCTGTGATCAAAAATGTCCTATATACTGGATTTCGAAGCAAAAAAACGAGCATTGATGGAATTGGGGCGGATACGAAAAATGCAAAGAATAGCGTTGTGAGTACTGGAAAGTTTGAATTTTCTAGCACTATTCCCAAGCATTGTTCCTTAGAAACATACCAGAAACATCAATATCGTCATTCAGAAAAAATTTGACGAAAATGAATAACGGAGTCAGAACGTAGAATGGCAAGCTGATACCCAGCTGAAAAATTGTTATCAGCTTCAAAGTAGGCCAGACACGAAAGTTTACGGAGTTTTCTTGGAGCGAGAGTATGTATTCTGACGGAAAATCGTGCGATCGAAGAGCCCCTGCGACCCAATGCGCGCTACTTGACGAGCATTTATTTTTTAGTATACACTAAATTTCTTCAATGTTAGGCAATTATTCCCGACTTTTTTTAGTTATTCAGTCATTCTATGATGTCGCCGAATGAAAGCAGAAAAAAAAAACAAAAACCGACATATGGGAGTCGAACCCGCGATGCACAACTAACCACAGGTAGAGGGGTACTGCCGAAAAACGGGCCGTCTGGCGGGCGCGGACTGCCGAAAAGCGAACAGTCGGCAATCGAATCGCGCGCCGCCGACGGTCCGTCTGTAACGATTTGCGCCTCGAAGACGGACCGTCTATAATGATAGCGCCTTCTTGACAGTTCATCATTAAACAGGTAATAAACAATAGAAATTCTTTATTCAACTAATAGTTTCTGTGGATTGTGTATTGTTTTTAAAAAGTAACTCTGATTTTTTCAAAGGTGAATTTTTATGAGTAGAACAAGAGAAAACACATAAGAAATCACAAGCTCTGAATGAGACAGAACTTCCGATTTTCTTTCTGTGTTTTCGCAAAATTCCAACTTCATTCAACTCGGAAAATCAGAAGCTTTTTTTTATTTCCTTTCGTTCTCTTTCTCTTCTTCGTTTCTCCCTTTCAACTTTTTTCGTTTTTCGGTATGTACATTTCTCTCATTGAACAGTATTTTTCGCTTATAAGTACGTTCAAAATAAATAAAATTGATGCGTTCGCAACACTAAAAACTGGCAAGTAAAAAATCTTTAGATTTTTAGGCTCTGCGGCATTTTTAAAGCAGACTTCAAAAGGGCGACGTTTCGCATGTGAAATTTAAAAACGAGTCAGAAACAGCAAAAACTGATTTCCGTATTAATTTTTGTGCGAACCTTGCAAAGTTGTTACTCTCCAAACATTGCACTTGCAAAACGTCACACCTATGAAGTATCGGCGAGGTGAATTTTCGACAACGCATGAACAATTTCAGAGTTTACGATAGTTTTTGCTTCGGAACGTATAAAAACTTACCAACTCACCATATAAAAACTCCTGAAAGGCTGCATTTGTAACGTTCCGAAGCAAAAAATAGCGAAACTTTCGAAACTTTCATCGCAAGGAGTTTTCGCCGATTTTTTCTGCGTTTTCAACTAAAAACGCGCAGAGCGAAAGTGCGCAAAGCTTTTCAGTGCTTCTTTATGCCAGTAGTTAGATAAATTAAGCGAAAAATACTGAATTTCAATAAGAGAACACTTCGAAAAGCGAAAGAAACTGAAAAAAAGACGAAAAATTAGTAAAGTCTTGTGCCGCTAAACAAGGCGCAGCCGGGATTTCGGAGTGTCGTTGCGGGATTTCGAAGTGTCGTTGCAAATCTCTATGACCGAAATTTTGAAACTCGGCAGTTATAAAACGGCATTTAAAAACGAATTGTTGTGATTTTTGAAGAAACACAAATTGTACAAAATTAAAAACAAATTTCGTTGGAAATCTTAAGCAAATTGAAAAATATGACCGAGAACATGTGTCCTGAACGATTGATTATTATCATGCAATGACAACTCGAGTAAAGATCTTGGAACACGAAAATGCTAACACATGCTTCTAGATGGAAGGAATTTTCAAACATATTTTTTTTATTCAGCCGCCATCAACCAGTCAGCGCCTATTCGACTGTCATTTAGCAGTTTTTCACCAACCGCGCCTCAAATCCTAATTTTTATAGAAATGCTTCTAATAACGCATTTTTTAGCTTCCCAGACCCCTCTTTGACTTTTATGATGTTTTTAGAGAGAACTATTTTTTCAACAAAATTTTCCATTCTGAAGGAATTTGGACCGCCAACCACCCAGTCAGCGCCTCTTCGACTGTCATTTAGCAGTCGTTCAACAACCAATTTTTTGAGGTGTTCATATTTGAGGAAAATAAGATTCTATCAACATTCTATAATCTAGTGGGAGTATGAGAAATTGTTTTCTGCATGATTTCCAATCAGAACCTTCAAGTATGTTTTCCAATCGGTACCGACTGTCCGTCGACGGACCGTCGACAGTTCTCCTTCGGCTGCCAACTAGCAGTCATTCGCCAGTTTGCGCCTCTTCAGCTGTCATTTAGCAGTTTTTTGGCAGTCCCCCTTTACCTGTGACAGACAAGCGCGCTCACCTCTACACCACACAGCGCTGATCGGCTTCGGCCGCTAAAACGATGATAAAGCGAGGAGTGGGCGACGCTTGAGCCGCGCTTGGAAGAACTGTCGCGTTCTCGCTTGTGCAGTAACAGGGAGGTATGGTTTGGTGGCCATTGTTATTTTCTGACTGTACTGTGTCATATATAAAAAAACTAGAATTTTGAAAATTTTCATGTCTGACCTCCTTTAAGAATTGGTAAAATTAAATTTCAAAAAAAGAACTATTTTTCAATGTATGGGACATGAGAAAGTCCCAGGAAGTGAAAAAAACAAATTTTCTCAATAGACGAACGAAGCCTTTAAGTTAAATTATTCCGATTTTTGAAAATAAGTAGGATCATGCTTTTGACCGGATTCTGGCCGGCCACGGTCGACCAAGCAACTTCACAATTTGTTTTAATTCCAAACTTACATGGACCAAGAAATCTCGCACCACTTTTTTCTGATACTTATTCGTAGATCGACTCATTGAATTCACTTGAAGATCCAATTCAAAAAGTAGAACAATATACGACATTAGCATGACCATAAAAACTAAACCAATGCAAATAAATATGCTAGTGATGAATCCCACAAAGTTCCGATTAGTTGTTAATATCCATAGGAATTTGTAGCGTAAAAGGAATTTCATACTTGGATACGATTTAGAAAGAAATTTAGAGACTTGAGATGGATCTGAATAGGAAGCCAGGATAACGAATAATTGGGAAGATACTGCACCACCGACTAGAGCCAAAAGGAAGAGTTTTTGACCAGTGTCAGACATCTGGAAATGATTTTTTTTTCATAAATTAGGAAATTCTGAAATTCCCAAAAAATCTAACTTCAGAAAGTTAGGAATTCTAAAATTAGGAACAACAGAATTTTGGAAATTAAAAAAAATTCAAAGTCCCAAAACTTCGAAAATTCGAAAATACAAAAAAATCAAAATCTAGAATTTCAGAAATTAACGCAACATGTGAAAAGTTTCCAGATTTTTTGGTTGTATAATATTCATCAGTTTTTTAATAGATTTTTGAACGAACAAACGAAAAATTTCCATCCTTACTCGAAACGGCGAATCTTTTCTCGCAATTGTCATCGTTTTCATGAAAATTAGAACAGCAATAAGTGAACCTTGTAACGCAAATAAAGCATCGAAAACTGCCTGAAAACACTATTTTTTGAAATTCGAATTTTGTAAACATACCGTAAGACCTGTATTGAGGCCGGCTCATCAATTTTTTAAGGCTCCTCCGGAGGGTTTTCTATTGCAAGTGCCCTTCAATTAGAGGAGGCCCTTCTACTTTTCCGTCTTGAAAAAGTTCTTTTTATCAAAAAAAAAGTTTTTTTTCAATCACAAATTTCTTCTAAATTGTGCAACTTACGGAATATTTTTCACGGAAAACGTACCGAAATTTTGAAACTTCAAAACATATTTTGAAGGAGGTCCTTGTTTACAGGGGGCCCTTCTATTACAGTTGCGCTTCTATTACAGGGGGTCCTTCTATTTTTCCAAGCCTCTCTCGGAGGGCCCTTCTATTAAAGGGGCTCTTCTAATACAGGTTTGACGGTAAAATGTTAAAATTACAGGTTTTCTACGTCGCTAGAATTCAAAAATTTTCTTTTTCCAAACTTACAAAAGCCAACAGGGCTGAAAATCCAGACAAATTTTTAAGCACTCCAATACAGTAAACACCAGGCAGGGGAAATAAAAATACGATATTCAAAATGCTCCCTGCATAAATTTGTGATAAATATAAAATTACTTGATAAAATAATTGTACATATGCAAAATGTTTGGATTCTTTTGATTTTTGTACAATCATCACATAAAAACCAATGAAGTTTATAATTGTGGAAACTAAGGAAATCGAATTGTTTAAATAAAATTGAATCTCGTCGGCTAGCAAATATTTTGTCGAATTCATAAGCTCATTCTTTTTGGGAATTCAGTAAATTCATAAAATCTAGAAAAAAATATTCTGAAAATTGGAAGTATTGGAAAATGGCAAATGACATAAGCAGGAAAGCAGGTGAAAAAAAAAGTCGGCTTAAAAAAATACAGAGAAATTCAGAGATAATTTTTTAATAAAAAAAATTTCTTCAAATTTCTCATTCCATCTGCACTTGTGACGGCGTCTGTCTTGAGTTTGTTGTCTTTGCAGCCGGCGTTGTTTTGACAGGAATACGAAATTCTTTGATCAAAAATGTCCGATATACTGGATTTCGAATTAAAAATATGAGCATTGATGGAATCGGAGCGGATACGAAAAATGAAAATGAAAAAGTTGTGAAGACTGAAAAAAAATTCTCAGGTTGCGGTCCCCGGGGGAAACTTGAGAATCAAAAATTCGATTCCCTCTCATTTTTCAAAAATATTAAACTATTTGCCTAGAAAAAAGTCACATAATTCAGGTACAACATACTTTTTACTCCCTCGTACCTCCGAACTGTTGTACCCACCGAATTCTGTGCCAGAAAAAAAACCCACCAGAAACATCAATATCGTCATCTAGAAAAAATTTGACAAATATGAAAAACGGAGTGATTATGTAGAATGGCAAGGTGACAACCATCTGAAAATAACAAAAACCTATTTTTGAGTTAATTTTCGGCCGTTTTGGCCATTTTCAAGTGTCTGGAGCTCAGCCGTCAACTTTCCGATCATTTTGGAAGTCCCCCCCCCCCCTCTACCATTTTTCAAATCCAGACTTACATTAGACAATAAATCCATCACCACTTTTTTCTGATACTTATTCGAAGATAGACTCATTGAATTCACTTGAAGATCCAGTTCGAAATGTAAAATAATATACGACATTAGCATGACATAAAAAACTAATCCGATGCTAATAATAATGCTAGTGATGAATCCCACAAAATGTCGGTTTTTTGTTAACATCCATAGAAACTTTTAGCGTAATAGGAATGTCATGTTTGGATGAGATTTAGAAAGAAAATCAGAGACTTTAGATGGATCTGAATAGGAAGCCAGGATAACGAAGAGTTGGGAAAATACAGCACCACCGACAAAAGCCAATATAAACATTTTTTGGCCAGTGTCAGACATCTGAAAATGATTTTGAAAAATGTTCAAACTGTGAAAAAACCAAAAAAACAATGCGATTTTTCTGACGAAACGAGTCAATTCGATTTCTGAGAAACTTCAATGATATTGATTTAAAGAGTTTCTAGAAAACTTTACACGAAAAGGCGAGTCTTGTCTAGAAATAGGCATCGTTTTCAAAAACATTATAACTGCAATAAATGCACCTTGTAACGCAAATAAAGCGTTGAAAATTGCCTGCAAATTTCATTTTTCGAAATTTCAAATTTCAGTAAAATAGGGAAATTATCAATTTACAAAAGACTTACAAAAGCTAACAGGGCTGAAAATCCAGACAAATTTTTAAGCACTCCAATACAGTAGACACCAGGCAGGGGAAATAAAAATACGATATTCAATATGCATCCGGCATAAATTTGTGATAAATATAAAATTACTCGATATAACAATTGTACATATGCAAAATGTTTGGATTCTTTTGATTTTTGTACAATCATTACATAAAAACCAATAAAATTATAATTGTGGAAACTAAAGAAATCGAATTGTTTAAATAAAATTGAATCTCGTCGGCCAGCAAACATTTTGTCGAGTTCATGAGCTCATTTATTTGGGAATTTGGTGATTTGAGCAATTCTGAAAAAATTCGGAAGTGTAGGAGACAAAAATGACAGATGACATGGACAAGGAAGCAGGTGAAAACAGAGCTGGACAGTAAAAATGCACTAGAAATAAATACAAAGAATTTCAGAGATTCTCAAATTTTGATGCTGTAAATTGATTTGCAAACTTGACAGTTTTCAGAATAAATGTTCTAGATCTGTGTCATTGGACTCAAATTTTTTAAAGAGGTTTTCTTGAGGATTTCGACGTTTTTGTATTTACCCAGCCAGAATTTCAAGGTTCCAAAGTTTGTTTCACTTCCAATTTTCAATAGTAGATCAATTTAAAGTTCTTCATAACTTTTTCAATTTTTAATACTTTCTGATTGTTCAGACAGCTGAAAGAAAAGCTTTAAGTCTAAATTAATCATTTTTTCCTTCCATACTCAATTTTTCATTTATGTCTCTCAACTCGAAAAGAAATTTAGCGGCCGACGATTTTCAAATAATTGCTACAAATTTAATTTCAACAGTTTCGATAATTACGAATCTAATTGGAAATTATGTGGTAATAACCGCAAAGTGTCCAGAAAAGTCTCGATTCGTACATTTATCATACCACTTTGTCTTATGCGTTTCACAATTCTATGTGGGTACTGTATTGATACAGTGATCCTGATTCCTGTTCCTGGAATTTATTGTATTGGTTGGCTGAAAAATGCATCGGATGTCATGAAAGTTATGTATGTGGTGAGTTTTTTTTTCAATAAAAAATCGGTTCAACTAGAAAATTATACAAACACACCCTAAATTTCGAGAACAATTTCCGACCAAATCGGAAAATACAAATTTTTGAACTTCTGAGCAAAATTTTGAGAAGATTTTTTTCATGTTTCTTTAAAATCAGTTGAATAACTGCCTCTTTCTGAAAATATGCGACTTTTAAACTGATCTGAACATTGGAATACTTCTGAAATCATTCCAGGCAATTTTCTACTTCCTATTTGGTCTACAAGGTGAACTTCTTGCAATTTTATTGTTTTTGAAAATTGGATCCGTTGCCAGACCAAATTCAGTTTTCAAATTACCCGCCTTTTTCAAACTCATCTTCATTTTATTATTCATTTCCATAAATCACGGTTTCCATTGGATAGTGTTCTATTTCACCTATACAACTCGGGCAGAGCTCGAGATATTTATTCATGACCATTTTCCATATCACGAATTTCTCCTTCGTTATCAATTTTTGTGGATGGCAACTTCTAATAAGTTGTATATCAGCTTATCAGCTCTAAATTTGTGTTCAACTGGACTTATTATAGTGATGATCGTATTGTGTTACATTTTGGTTTTGTATGAGTTGGAAATGACCAAAAGTTATCTTAGCAAGAATCGTTATCAAGAGCATAAAAGATATAGTGATGAAATTGGAAATCATGTAAGTGGAATTTTTTTTTCCAGTCGGTGATTTGGATCCTAGAATTTTTTTTTCTCTATTTCTTGAAGTTAAGAGCGAATAACAGTATTTGGTGGAAAAAAAGAACCACTGTAATAGAAGGGCCACTTTCAAAAAAAAACATGGCCGAAAAAAAAACAAGGGCCCCTGTAATAGAAAGGCACTCCAAAGTAACCTTGGAAGAATAGAAGGACCGGCCCTACTAATGCAGGTTTTACGGTACAATTTGTCTGATACTGTACATTTCGAATCATAAATTTTCAGGGAATATTGATTTTTCCATTTTTCGCAATCCTCCCATTATGCTGGTTTGTTCAATTCTTTGTATTAGAACAAACTGATGTTTCGAGTGAGTTTTCAAAAAAAAATTTTTTTTTGGAAAATTGAAAATATTAGCACAAAAAATAAGCATAAAAGTGAAAAAAAAATCAGTATAAAATATACAAAAACATATTTTTAGTTGATTTTCGGCCATTTTGACCACTTTCCAAAATTTTCAAATTGAGTTTAAACTAAACAGCCCAGCTACAGATGTATCAATAAATTTCTCAAAATTTCTCAAAATTTCAAAAATTTCAGTTCCTGTATCTATCTGTTTTCTGATTTTTATAACAACTCCAATTCCTGCAATGCTGTTTTTTCTATGGAGAAATCCGTTATATCGGATGAATTTTCAAAAGAAATTCTGCAAATTTCGAAACAACCATATTCGCACAATTCCAGTTGGAGCCCAAACTATTTGATTTTGAGAATAAAAAAATTTTATTGGAAATAAGTTTCATTTTCTTATCATTTCTATGTGTCTTATCTAACTAGGAAGATGGGTGTGAAATGGGAAATGTATGTAAGAATCCAAAAACCAAAAATGACATAAAATATTTATTATAGACTACAGGTAAAAGTTCTGTGTCTGAAAGTTGCAAAAAATGCACGTGAAAAATGGTAGACAAGAAATCAGGAAGTTTGATTTTTAGATAATGACTAATGAAACCTTTCGAATGGAAATGTTGAACTTGATAGAATCGGAGAAAAAAAAAAAGAAATCTGACATACTTGAAAACGGGGCCGGGCCGGGCTTTTTCCCGAATTTCGGAGGCCCGGCCCGGCCCGGCGGGCCTGTCATTCCACAAGTTTTCAAAATTTCAAAAAACACATAGGGGGGACCCTTATGTGATTTTTTTCGAGTTTTTAAAAATATTGTTTGATCAAACAGACAAACAATCCAAAAAGCACAAAAAACATATAGAAAATTGTATTGAGAGCTCAAAATTCGGTTCAAAATGAAAAAATTTTGGCTACCGGGTTTTCCGGGCCGGGCCCGGGCCTTGAAATTTTCCTCAGGTCCGGCCCGGGCTTTGGCGGGCCGGCCCGGAATTTTACAAGTATGAAATCTGATGTTTGAAATTTTGATTTTAATGAGTCATTGATTTTTAAGGAGTGGGAGTCATTGATTTTAAAGGAGTGCAGAATCTCAGAATCTCAGAATCTCAGAATCTCAGAATCTCAGAATCTCAGAATCTCAGAATCTCAGAATCTCAGAATCTCAGAATCTCAGAATCTCAGAATCTCAGAATCTCAGAATCTCAGAATCTCAGAATCTCAGAATCTCAGAATCTCAGAATCTCAGAATCTAAGAATCTCAGAATCTAAGAATCTCAGAATCTCAGAATCTCAGAATCTTACAATCTTTAGAATCTCAGATCCTTAGAATCTTAGAAGTTCAGAATTTCAGAATCCCGGATTTCGAAAACCTCCGAAGCTCCGATTCCCAGGATAACAGGATCTGGGCCACGAACGCAAGAATATCGAAACATTGGAATCTTAAAATCCTAAAATCTGAGCATCTGAAAACTCTTTCAAAATCCCAGAGTCTCCGATTTTCAGAATCCTACAAAAAGTACTCATTCCATCGACACAAAATATTTCTGAGTAATTCTCTTTTGATTCTCTCTTATCATTTATATTCTCTTATCTTTAGTGTCGATTCACACCCAACCCACCCCCACCGAAAGTGATGTGCAAGAACCGAATTTTCAGTATAAAAGACTTTTTCCGGGGGTTTTTTTTCATTCTATTTTTGATTCTTCTAGAAAATTCCAATATGAAATTGTTCCTACTTTTTGCATTCTTATTTTCTGTGGCTCACGGTCAAAAGCTAATCAATTTGAACACCCTGAAAGGAGGAAACGAGGTGAACCAGTTGAATTCCTATGCACCATGTGGAATTTACGTTTCGGCGGCTTCGGATAATACAGCAACTCTCCAAAATATTTTTGTGGTCCAGAAAGATGGAACTAAAACATCGTAAGTGATTGAAAAATTTTAAAGATAGAGCAACATTAAATGTTTAAAAGTGTTTTTCAGAGTTTCTAAAATATTCTGAAAATATTTCTGGAAAAACAACTCTATTAGAGCTCTCACCTATTTCTGTCAAACTAGTTGTAAAGCTGAAATTTTCAGACTATATGATATCAAAAGCAAAACAAGCAATGGAAAAATGACACCATTGGTTGTTATAGATACTGCCACTCTTACAACTTCTCTGAACACAAATGTTCTCAAAGGACTGAATGGAGTCATTTATTTGAGCCTCACAGCGCAGTATAATAATAGTAAGTCATTAAAATTATTAATTTTTCAGGATAAAAAGAGCAACTGAAAATATTAGGTATTCTTAAACCGCATTTACTGTATAACGGGTTTATCTCGGTTACTGTAAGAGCTATCAAAGAAAGTTCAACTAACAAACTTCTTTTGACTTTTCTGGCATTTCTCGAAGGAAGCTAGACAAATCAGCTCAGAAATAAGGAGCCTTTTCCAAGTTTTATTTGAACAACAGTTCATAGAACATTCCAGAAAACTTCAACGTCTACGACGTCAGCAGTACCTTCAACTTCAACCTTAAACCTGTCACCGTTGAGACTCTGACTCTTTTCCTGAACACTTATCGAGGAACCAATCCACTTCAATCCTCTATCATCTCTCAATGGAACCAAGATCCGTCTAGCTCTTCATATATCTACGCAGGAATCCCTCAAGACCAAACGGAATCCAAAAACACTCAGATTTTCTCGAATCCTGTAGTTTCTGACAAGTTCACTCAATACTTTTCAAACGTTGAGAAATTCACGTTGGCTTCTACTGTGGCATTTTACTTGAGAACATCCAATGGAGGACCAAGTTTTAGAGTCGAGCCGGGAAGTTGTGAGTCCCTTGATTGAAAAACTCAATAATATATTGATTTTTCCTGGCTTACAGGGAACATTGGCGAGTCCACAACCAGTGCGTACAGTACCACTGGATTCTTCATGAGGCCACAAGGAAAAATGGATGGTACTGTAACAACAGTGCACATAAAAAGAGATACAAGCTACTCGGGAACTTCTGGAGCTAATGTGGGTTTGTTTTCAAAATTTGAGGGGCGGCCTATCTGCTGAGCCCCCCAATCTAGAAGTTGGCTGCCGACCGCGTAGCTCAGTGACGAGCTTGGGATGCTCAAATTACCTAATTTCAGCAAAATATATATCTTTATTTTTCAGATGCTCGGTAGCCTTGAAAACCGTGGAAAAGTATCCGTTAGCTACAACGATGGTGCCTCGGCATATGACGACAACACTGTACCAAACCCATTCTTCTCTCCATGGAGCATTCCAGTCATTGGGGAAAATCTGAAAATCAGCGCGACGTCAGGAGAATCCGGATATTACTACGTACAGTACTTTGTACTTCGTAAGTGTGAAAAAGTTTCGCAAGTTTTCAAAAATTTGTTTTACAGAAGGTGGAAAGAAAGGATCTCCAACAAGTGGTCCTGGACAAATTGAGACAACAACCAAAGCTTCGGGTACTATCCAATTTTTCATGGCTTTTGTGATTTCTGTCTTTTTAATGCTTTGAATTTTATTTGTTGCTTGTTTCCTACCTGGTGCTTAAAAACCATAAAACCATAAAATAATGCATGGGTAAAAAATCATATTTTTTAATTTATTAGCTAAAAGCTCAGTTACCAAAAACTTCATTGAAATGTATTGTCAATAAGGAAAATATGAAAAACTTTTTTTTCTTACGAGAATCTAAATTTTCGGGAGATGTTCATTTTTACGGTTCGCGGTTGAAGAGAGATGAGAGCTTCGGTTTTCGATTTTCAAAAAATGCCAAAAATTGAAGGATCCGGTGGTTTCGGTTCGTCCAGTTGCATCCTCCAAAAAGTGATTACCGTTTGTAGAAGAAGGAACCGATAAATAATTAAATGATTAGTAGATCGTACCCTGAATAGCTAATAGAGAAAAACTTTTGAAATCCTATAAATTTCAGGAGCTCCAACTGTTCCAAATCCAGGAGCTCCAACTGTTCCAAATCCAGGAGCTCCAACTGTTCCAAATCCAGGAGCTCCAACTGTTCCTGGCCGCGTCGAGACCACAACCAAATCTTCGGATTCCATTAAAATCTTATTTCCGATTTTAATTTTCATTAGCTTCACCTGGTCCGTTTAACGATCTTTCTCTCAATTTCTGATGTTCTAAAAGAGAATGAAATTTCGATTCCCTTTTCTTGAAAGCATTTCCATGCTCTGTGATTTTTTTTTGTGATTGTGAAGTGCACAGTTTGATAACGATGAAAAGAGTTCAAAAAATTGAAAATGTAATAAAAGTCTTGGTTTTTCGAAGCAAAATGGTGAGTAGTCCCTCTTACAAGCCAAAAAAAACCCTGTTGACACAGAATATTTCTGTCTAATTATCTTATCATATCATATTCCTTTTATCTTTAGTATCGTTGACACCCAACCCACTTCAACCAATCATGATGTGCTTAAAATCTGAAACTTTTAGAATAAAAACTGGCTTCTTCTCATAAAATTTCAGCTTGTTCTCAAGAAAATACCAGTATGAAATTATTACTACTTTCTGCACTCTTATTTTCCGTCGCTTACGGTCAACAGCTAATCAATTTGAACACCCTGAAAGGAGGAAACGAGGTGAACCAGCTGAATGGCGATGCACCATACGGAATATACGTTTCGGCAACTTCTGATAGTACGACCACTCTTTCAAGTATTTTCGTGGTCTTAAAAGAAACAATGGAACAAATACATCGTAAGTTTTTTGACAATCAATTTTTTGATAGAACAACTTCGAAGGTTTTTGAAAAAATGCCCACAATATTCTGAAAACATTTCTGAAGAAAAACCTTCTATTTAAAGTCTTATAGGATTAAAATTTTCAGATTATATGATATCAAAAATAAAACAATTAATGGACAAATGATCCCGTTGGCTGTTATGGATTCTGGTACTCTTACAACCTCTTTGGACACAAATGTACTCAAAGAGCTAAATGGAGTAATTTATTTGAGCTCTTCAGCTCAATATAACGTTAGTGAGTCATAGAAAATAGTAATATATCGGTTACTACACTGCTCCACATAATCTTTGTTCCACCCTGAAGCTTCACTGGAACTCCCTATTTAGGTCAAGTTTCATTAAAAGGTGTCAACATGAACGTTGTAGCCCTTCGTGAGAAACGGTACCTCTAAAAATTCGGAGTCGACTGCGTGACCCAGAAAAATTTCCTGACCGAAATTCCGGGGGTTTAAATATTAAACGGGGGTTTTCAGAAGGTGACAGAGTCATGGTTGGGAAAGTCCCCAAAATGTTCCAAAGTGCTACAGTTTCTTGTTTTTTGCTCATTTCAGTTGATCTATTCTTTTCTGAAATCATTTTTTTGTTTTTTTCTTTTTTCATTTCTAAAGTTTTATGGCACTGTTCTAGAATTGCGGAACGAATGAAAATCACATTAAAAAATGGGTAGAAAAATTTTGACACTAGGAAACCGTTTATAGGCTTAGGCTGAAAACGCCATATTTCCTTCATCTAAGTCATCGGAAAATCGGCGGCAAGTTACATAACTCTGCTAGTTCTAACCTCGAATCCAAAATACAAATGTACCGCTTTTAGAAATATGTCTTTTTCAGAAGGTCCTGAATATATTGAGACCACAACCAAGACTTCAGGTACTAACTCAATTTTCATGGCTTTTGTGATTTCTGTGTTTTTGATGCTGTAATTTATTTTCATGCTTTTCTCATGCATTTTTCTTGGAAAAAATGCCCGTTGACTGTGACTTTTTTTTTGATTAAGAAGTGATAACCAAAATGAAAAGTTCAAAAAACTGAAAATGTAATAAAAAGCTATGGGTTTTCGAAGCAAAATGATTATCAGTTGGTGGGAAGATCAGAAAATGGTGACATGGGAAAACACTGGAAAAAGGAAAAAAAATTGCGGGATTTTTTGGAACCTTTAAGTTTCTGAATACTTTGAGACTACTGTATTTCTGAAAATGCTCTAGGCCTGGATTTTTTGAATATTCCAAATTTTCAATTCCAGAATTTCCGTAAAAAATCTATAATTCAAAAATCATAGCATTTGATATTGCTGAATTTCCGATTTTCTGAATTTCTGAATTACAGTAATCCCGAATTTCAGAATTCACGAATTTATGATTTTCCGAGTTTCCAAACATCTGATATCTTGAATTTCTGTAGAAATCAAGAAGCTAATTTTGTAAAAAAAAAATTTAGATTTCACCTGAAATTTTTTGAACTGCGAGATTTTCGAATATGGAATTTGCTGAAAACTTTGAATTTTGGAATTCGCTAAAATTCCTGAATTTCCGAATTTTTGAATTTTGAAAAAAAGAGATTTCTGAATTCAAAACTTTATGAGTTTAGATCTACTTCTTACTAAGGAAACTTTTCTGTGTGTCTGTGTGTGTGTCCGTCTCGGACATTAACTTGAAAAACTCAAAGGGACGTGGGACTCCTATAGTGGTGTGTGGTATGTAGTCATGAACTGCCGAGCGCTTCATGTCTATGGTGTACTGGGCCTTCTAGCTAACAGGGAAGCTACAGTGTTGAGAATCGAAAATTTCAAAACTATGCTCAAACTCAATAAAACTTCACGAAATTATGCAAAACAATTTTTTGGCCTATCTAGGTGTTGCCTGCATAAAATTGATCACAAATCTTCAGAACTGAAAAATTTCGAAAATTTCGTTTCTTTTGTATATCACTTGAATTTCGATCCTGTGGACTACTGAAAATGGGTCATAGTAGTTTCATTTTGAATACAAGGTTCTTAAGTTATGCGGAAAATTCTAGAACATTCCAGAAAGTTCCAGAAAATCCTAGGAAGTTCCAGAACATTCTAGAAAATTCCAGTAAATTCCAAAAAGTTCCAGAACCTTCTAGAAAATTCCAGTAAATTCCAGAAAGATCCAGAACATTCTAGAAAATGCCAGAAAATCCCAGGAAGTTCCAGAACATTCTAGAAAATTCCAGTAAATTCCAGTAAATTCCAGTAAATTCCAGAAAATTCCAGAAAGATTCAGAACATTTTAGAAAATTCCAGTAAATTCCAGAAAGATCTAGAACATTCCAGTAAATTCCAGAAAATTCCAGAAAATTCCAGTAAGTTCCAGAAAGTTCCAGAACATTCTAGAAAATTCCAGAAAATTCCAGAAAATTCCAGAACATTCTAGAAAATTCCAGTAAATTCCAGTAAATTCCAGAAAATTCTAGAAAATTCCAGTAAATTCCAGAAAGATCCAGAACATTCTAGAAAGATTCAGAACATTTTAGAAAATTCCAGAAAATTCCAGAAAGTTCCAGAACATTCTAGAAAGTTCCAGAAAGATTCAGAACATTTTAGAAAATTCCAGAAAATTCCAGAAAGTTCCAGAACATTCTAGAAAATTCCAGTAAATTCCAGAAAGATCCAGAACATTCCAGAAAGATTCAGAACATTTTAGAAAATTCCAGAAAATCCCAGGAAGTTCCAGAACATTCTAGAAAATTCCAGTAAATTCCAGAAAATTCTAGAAAAATTCCAGTAAATTCCAGAAAGTTCCAGAACATTCTAGAAAGTTCCAGAAAGATTCAGAACATTCTAGAAAATTCCAGTAAATTCCAGAAAATTCCAGAACATTCTAGAAAATTCCAGTAAATTCCAGAAAGATCCAGAAAATTCCAGAAAGATTCAGAACATTTTAGAAAATTCCAGAAAATTCCAGAAAGATCCAGAACATTCTAGAAAATTCCAGTAAATTCCAGTAAATTCCAGAAAATTCTAGAAAAATTCCAGTAAATTCCAGAAAGTTCCAGAACATTCTAGAAAGTTCCAGAAAGATTCAGAACATTTTAGAAAATTCCAGTAAATTCCAGAAAGTTCCAGAACATTCTAGAAAATGCCAGAAAATCCCAGGAAGTTCCAGAACATTCTAGAAAATTCCAGAAAATTCCAGTAAATTCCAGAAAATTCCAGAAAGGTTCAGAACATTTTAGAAAATTCCAGTAAATTCAGGAAAGATCTAGAACATTCCAGTAAATTCCAGAAAATTCCAGAAAATTCCAGTAAGTTCCAGAAAGTTCCAGAACATTCTAGAAAATTCCAGTAAATTCCAGAAAGATCCAGAACATTCTAGAAAATTCCAGAAAATTCCAGAAAATTCCAGAACATTCTAGAAAATTTCAGAAAATCCCAGGAAGTTCCAGAACATTCTAGAAAATTCCAGTAAATTCCAGTAAATTCCAGAAAATTCCAGAAAGATTCAGAACATTTTAGAAAATTCCAGAAATTTCCAGAAAGATCCAGAACATTCTAGAAAATTCCAGAAAATTCCAGAAAATTCCAGAACATTCTAGAAAATTCCAGTAAATTCCAGTAAATTCCAGAAAATTCCAGAACATTCTAGAAAATTCCAGTAAATTCCAGAAAGTTCCAGAACATTCTAGAAAATTCCAGTAAATTCCAGAAAGATCCAGAAAATTCCAGAAAGATTCAGAACATTTTAGAAAATTCCAGAAAATTCCAGAAAGATCCAGAACATTCTAGAAAATTCCAGAAAATTCCAGAAAGTTCCAGAACATTCTAGAAAGTTCCAGAAAGATTCAGAACATTTTAGAAAATTCCAGTAAATTCCAGAAAGTTCCAGAACATTCTAGAAAATGCCAGAAAATCCCAGGAAGTTCCAGAACATTCTAGAAAATTCCAGAAAATTCCAGTAAATTCCAGAAAATTCCAGAAAGGTTCAGAACATTTTAGAAAATTCCAGTAAATTCCAGAAAGATCTAGAACATTCCAGTAAATTCCAGAAAATTCCAGAAAATTCCAGTAAGTTCCAGAAAGTTCCAGAACATTCTAGAAAATTCCAGTAAATTCCAGAAAGATCCAGAACATTCTAGAAAATTCCAGAAAATTCCAGTAAATTCCAGAAAATTCCAGAAAGGTTCAGAACATTTTAGAAAATTCCAGTAAATTCCAGAAAGATCTAGAACATTCCAGTAAATTCCAGAAAATTCCAGAAAATTCCAGTAAGTTCCAGAAAGTTCCAGAACATTCTAGAAAATTTCAGAAAATCCCAGGAAGTTCCAGAACATTCTAGAAAATTCCAGTAAATTCCAGTAAATTCCAGAAAATTCCAGAAAGATTCAGAACATTTTAGAAAATTCCAGAAATTTCCAGAAAGATCCAGAACATTCTAGAAAAATCCAGAAAATTCCAGAAAATTCCAGAACATTCTAGAAAATTCCAGTAAATTCCAGTAAATTCCAGAAAATTCTAGAAAAATTCCAGAAAATTCCAGAAAGTTCCAGAACATTCTAGAAAGTTCCAGAAAGATTCAGAACATTTTAGAAAATTCCAGTAAATTCCAGAAAGATCCAGAACATTCTAGAAAATGCCAGAAAATCCCAGGAAGTTCCAGAACATTCTAGAAAATTCCAGAAAATTCCAGTAAATTCCAGTAAATTCCAGAAAGATCTAGAACATTCCAGTAAATTCCAGAAAATTCCAGAGAATCC